TTTGTAACTAGCAAAAGATTTTTTGAAGACTTTGATTAGTTTGATTTTAAACAGGGTATAGACCCCTTGGATTTGACCGATCATCAGCATTATATGAGTACTATAACTGGTAAAAAAATCATAATTCTCTTAGGTGTTATTGAAGTACGACGATAAAAGAGAAATTAGGTCTTCCGGTCAGACGGGCCACTCTTATATATATAAATACTATATGTGAATATAAATTCAAATTCTTCATGTGCTAAAATACATTGAAAGTTTGAAAAATTAGCTTTTTAGCATAAAAAAGATCACAAACAGGGATTTTTGGTCGTTGAAAATCTCATTTCCTAAGGCTTTTTAATGTACACACAGACACTAATGAGGACCGATCTCGTTTGTTTCCATTTATTCAACGGGATTGCAGATGAATCGGTATGATTTTCAGTGATTGCATCTACTGATTCCGAGTGACTCTATTGACTCCATGTGACTCTATTGACTCCATTGACTCCAACTGACTCTATTGACTCCAACTGACTCTATTGACTCCGAGTGATTCTATTGATTCTATCATTATAGAATCAGCTTTTTCCCCCGTGGTGCTAAGACATTCACAATTATATAAAAGTATAAGAAGATTTTCAGATTCATTTTTAGGTCTAATTTTTTCCCATGAAAGACACAAATCGGAAATAGAAGTTCTATTGTTCCACTCATTTAAAATATCAAACACTAATTTTTTCTCGTCTTTTGATCCTACAAATTGGTCTACTAAGGAAAAACAAACTGTGTTCGGTATATTAATATGATGTTGTTTATCCATTGTTTGTTGGTAAAAAACAATCTAATGCCGTTTCAAATACCCGTGATTGTTTATTCATAATAAAATGTAAATTTGTTTCTTGTTTTATAAACGAATCATTTAAATTCTTGATGTGTTGTAAAGATGAATTAATCATTGTTTTCATCATTTCGATCTTATTTCGATCAGATTCATCTGTATATTTTGATTTAATTATTTCACTTAATGATGTTATTGTTGTTGCAAATTCACCTATAGCTGATAAATTGTCTTTCATCATAGTTGACATTAATGAAAGATATTGATTTTGTGCTTGAATTTGTTGTTGTATCATTACCCATCCTTGCTGCTGGATTGTTCTAATTTGTTTTTCATAACACGTTTTTATTTTTTCTCGTTCTATTTCAAAATTTTTTTTAATTTCGGACAATTCCTTGGCTAATGATTTAATTGTTAGATTCATCTCATTGCTGTTCCACATTTCTACAGGTGCATATTGTCCTTTTGTCCATGGATTAATTATCGGGGGTTTTAATTGAACTGAATTACGTATTTCTGTATCATTTCGTGAAGTTAAAAATCGACTTCGATCAGCATTTGTTCGACAATCAACAGGTATAAAAAGTTTAACATGAGGTGGTAATTTATTTCGATCATTTTTCAATCGATTAAGAAGTTCTTGACGAAATTTAACAATTATCGGGCATTTATAATCAGTGGCCAGGTGTTGACCACCACAATGAAGACATTTAAGCAAACATTCATTATGATTTTTACCATCATTTCTATCTTGACCACATCTTCGACAGATTTCAATTGACGACTGGCATGTTTTCTTCATGTGGCCAGGAATATTACATCTGGTACAGATTAAAATTTTTGGGGGTGCTAAATATTCTTCAACTTCAAAAATTTGTCCTTGAAGTCCAATTTTACCATCATTTATAATTTTATTATAATCGTCCAATTGATAAATTTCCACCCTAATATGGCGACTATTTGACCGCATTGTTCCCATCATATCCTCGATTGCGAAGACTGACTGGTATTTAATTTTAAGTTCATCTTCAATATCATTTTTATGTATTTCATTTTGTACATATTTAATAACTACGGTGTGTTGCGGTGGAAGTCGTTTTGGTGGATCTGGTATTAATTTAATAGCATCAATTTGAGCTGGATAATGTTTTAAATCGCATAAATACATATAAAGTTCAATATCATTTGTAACACCATATAATATCTTACCACTTGAAGCAATCCACCAATGATGAAAGCCAAGTGGTTGTTGATTACCTGGACATTTCTTTCGAAAATCATTTTCGATATATTTAAATAATCTAATTACAAATTTTTTTGCACCTTCCCGATTTTCAAATGGAGGTGAACATTCAATTTTAATTGGAATGAAGCTGTTGTCTACAGCATAATTTAAGGCTTGATTCGATATGTTGAATTGTCCTTGTTGTTCATCATTAACTCTCATTGATTGGTTTTGTACTATACGTTGATTATAACTATATTTTTTATTGAAAAAGAATATATCATTATTTGTTTTTGGTTTCTTTTTTCCTTGTGGTGTCATTTGTTGACAACCATCATTTTCTATGTTATATACCGTACTATCTTCATCATCAGATGGTGGAGAACGTTTTTCTCCTATATTGTTCATTTTTTCACGCAGTTGTTTGTTACTTTGATCTAATCCAGCAAGACTAACTAATTGCTCTTTTGGATCAATAAAACTTTTTGTCGTTGTCATAATTTCCTTGATTGATCAAATTATAGAATCCAATAATTGGTAATTACTGTATTAGTATAAATCAAAGGGTCACGCGTTTGTACACGTGATCTTGTATTAAAGATGAAAAGGAAAAGAGAAAAAGAAAAGAAAGAAATATACGTCCGATCGCTGTGGGTGTTGGAGGAGGAATGATCGTTGATATTGTTTTTTGTTACAACAATTATAACAAACTTACATGTATTTCTATTCGTAGAAGTTGGTGAATTTGAACGATTGAAATGTTTGTTTTAGGCTTGCAATAATGTGTCCAATGTAAGTTTAACAGCCTTTTTATACTATAGTGGGAGACATGTCAGTGAATAATATTTTTGCGTTGGCTTGTTGAGTAATGTCACTGTTTTACATACTTCGATGATTTCTTCTTTGAGTTTTTTCCCATATGAAAATGAGTTTGAATGGGAAACGATTATTATCAATGAAATATTACTTTTGAACGACAGCTTGTTATCTCCTATGTATAATTTCACCTGAACGCAAAAACAAGGGAAAAAACCGATCAGAGCCTATAGGAAAAAACATGTTCGACATGAGTGACGATAGAGTAGGAGAAGGGATTGGTGAATCATATAGTATCAGTAGAAACAAGCTTGTTTTTATTTTTTGGACCGAATAGTAGGATTAACTAAGTGATTTTGATGATAATTTATTAGAAGAGATTTTTTATTACTTGATATGATTTCCTTTTGTGAGTTTCGAATCGATTTTTATCAAAAGCGAATCTTTTGTAATGTTTTATGGGAATATTGGGATTATTTCAGATAAATTTAGTTTGAAAGAAATATATATGAGTATAATTTTTTTCTGTTTTTGAAAAAATCAGAAATTCAAATGAATTTTTTGTCGAAATAGGATAAGATGAATTACGAAAGTAGTTTGAATCAAAAAAGAATTGTTTGGACAAAATGCTTTGAATGAATGGAATCAAAGAAATGGATTAAAAATGGAAGCACATAAATCAAGGAAATGTAAAGAAATACTTTATTTTGATAGGAAAAAAAATTGTATAAAGATAGGAACGTGTTTCGAATTTTATCTTCATTAGGCTATGATTATTCATAGTCACACACACTCCTTATATACGATTTGGTTTGATTGACTTAAAGATCATTTTACACTGTTGATCAATGATTCATCTTTTTATTGTCACGACTCACTAATTCGTACGGAAGAAACATTCCATTTCTACAGTTATCAGTCAGATGTTCTGTGTTTATGTAGTGATTCATTTCGATTGATGACATGCCATTCAAATGTAAATCAGAACAATAAAGAATTACATTAATTATCGTCTTATGTCATCACTTTCACATATCAAATAAAGAAATGATTCCGTCAGTCTTTCAAAACTTTCCAAATTCAATTTCGATATTCATTTCTAAACTGGACATATTCAATAAAAATTTTCACATATTGTATACGGAAATAGAAATTTACTGAAATGGAAGAATAATTGAACTTCTTTTTAACTAATAGATTTGATTTGAACCTTTTTATTTGTATGACAATCGAAAAAAAACAATCTTAATGCAGTTATGTAATCAAATATGACATTAAATATTGCGGAATACTTTTTATTTGCAGAGAGAAGCAATATAAACTTCAGTTCTATTTTTTTGTTTTCATGACAATAATCATGTTTGAATATGAAACTATGAATATCCCTATACCATGGAGAAGACTTATTTTCAATGCTTTTTTATTGCATTTTGATTGTTCCGTTTAATAAATGAAAATGAATTTCTCTATTATGAGATCCAGTAAATGTTTCTCTTGAAAATTATTTGTTGAGTAGAAAAAAAACAAACACAGTATGATTCATGTTATGAAACAAAGAAATAGAAATCAATTTGAAGATTTGAACAGTTTACGAAGAATTGTCGTTTTTATCGATAGTTCATATAAAGCGGTCGAAACAAATAATCATATTGCAGTTCATTTATCTCAAATTTGTTTTTTGTGCATTTTTTTTAATTATATAAAAATAACAATCTTGGTCTTAGATTAGAATAGATACAAACAATTCCCCATTGTTATGTATTAATTTAAAAGATTCAAAATTTTCTATCTTACTCTTGTATGTTGTTCTTCTTCGTTCATTAAATGTCTAATTTCATCAAGTGTATATTCAAATACAGTATCATCATCTATTATTATTAAAACCTTCTAATTCATACATATACCAATAACTTTATTTAAAATTCTTATTTGAGAACAAACCAGAGATGGGGGTGGGTGAGGATGTGGGTGTGAAATGAATTAAAAACATGACCCACACCCTATTATATGATGTTTATTTTCAATTACAAAACAGAAAAACTATAAAAGTTTTGATAATTGAACAGAAATAAATGACGATAATTTTTTATTTACAACAATTCATACAAGAAATTTAACAACAAGAAAAAAAAATGTATATCTAAAAAGTAAGAAATAAATAAACAAATGAATTTATTTAGTTTTATTACAACTGATGTTTACCTGAAAAATAAAAAAGTTGTTTGTTAAAGTTCCCATGATTTTTGAAAATCAAGAGATATTATATCCAATGCGATTGTAGAAACATTTCTTGTATAAAAATTAAGACCTTGTGGTAATAATGATAATACAGTTTGATCTGCTTTTAATGCATTTAAAATTGAATTTATTTGTGAAATAGATATAATTCCAGTTTCATATATTGCTATCCAATCTGGACAACATGTAAATATATATTTTTCAATATATGTACTAGATTCTTTTTTATTAACTTCAGCATAATCAATTAATTTAGATAAGTTATAATTATTTTCTCTTTCACATAATATAATATGCATAGTTTGATGAAGCATTAGTGTTAATAAATCCAATTGTAATAATTCTAATGGTGGATATAAATTTTTATGTTTATATTTTATTAAAAAATGATCAAAATTAACATATATTTTTTTTTCTTCCACTAAATCCTCTTAATTGATATGGTGCTGCAACTTCTACAAACTCGATATGTATATCATTTATAATTTGTTGTAAGGGTGTGGGTGTGGGTGGGGTGTGGGTGTGGGTGTGGGTGGCTGTGGGTGGGTGTGGGTGTGGGTGGGTGTGGGTGTGGGTGTGGGTGGGTGTGGGTGTGGGGTGGGTGTTTCTTTTCTCTATCCACACCCTCACACCCACCCTACATATTCATAATCATCCTAGGATGCTATTTAATATAGTTTTACTCAAAGTTTTTTACGTTCACATTTAAATAAAAAATTATCTTTTACAGAATATGACATTATTTAGACAACATTAAACAAAGTAAAGTCAAAAAAAATTATATTTTTTGGAGAAATATTTTTTTGATTATTATTACGTAGAAATAATCAGTTATGTTAAAAAAATAAATTTTAAATGCAAAAATAAAAGAAAATTTACATTGAAAAGAAGCTTGATCTTTTCATATCATGATTTATTGTGCCTTGAAATTTAAATCATTGTGTCTTCAGCTAACAATTAAATTAACTTTGTTTCATTTAAATTTACTGTTAAAATTAAAAAATGATTACAACTGATATTTAAAAAAAATTATGCTACAAAAAGAATTCAATTATTTTTAAGTTTTTTTAAAATTTAGTACATCTAATAGTTTTAAAATATATAAATTGGAACTCCTTGCTGCGAGATAACAGCTGTTCTTTGTAGTTACTCCCACTCCTTAATGTTTTGATATACTCTTATATATTTTCAACGTATGAGAATGCAAAATGTAATAAGATATATCAAGACAGATAGGAATGCACACAGTATAATCTCTATCTTTGATCTCACTATTAATTATGGCACTCTTTGATTGTCGTCCTAGCTAGAAATACATTAATAATATTAGAGACAGTGTATAGTTTTAATATAAAAAAATGCATATCATTATTTGCGTAATCATAATTTTTATACTTTACTAAGGTATGTAACACTCGGAAGTGCTTACATAGGATTTAAAGACAAAGTACTTTGCGACATTAGAACCAAATATAACAAGTATATGCTGAACATTTTAACATTCGTCATTGTCTGAATACCGATGCCTTTGACGAAATGATAATGCTAATAGGGGGATGGGAATGAGAGATCAAAGGAAGACAAGGAAAATAAAAGAAGAGAGAGAAGGAAGGATGAAATCGAAAAAAAAAAGAAACAGAGAGAAAGAGAAAAAAATAATAATAATAAAGAAAAAGAAAGAGAAAAAAAGAATAAAGAGAACTACTCTACATAAAGAGAGACATGATAAAATGAAAAGAGCAAAAGAAAAAGGAGTACCACATTTGCACTAATTTGTTTCAATGAAACTCAGCCATTTCAAAAGGAACGACTCGTATCGATCTACTAGTAATCGCACACGTTTTGTGTAATTATAATATAACAGATCATGCTTAATCATCAGTTACGTGTCCAGAGGATGGATTGGGGGAATAAATCCCCTTGATCGAGAAAAGTACATGGAACGGGAGGGGGGGGGTGTGTGTGTGGGCGGAGAGATACAGCAAAAGAAAATTTTGTAAAGTGACAACCTTTCTTCCACTATGGTTCTCCCATACTTGGGAAATCGATCTCCTGGAAAAATTCCTGTGCACGCCACTGTGAACCATCAAGCTACGAATGCTTCAGTACAAAACAGGCGATAAAATGATTGCTATTCTATTAGCTAGTCCTGATTCTAACTGCATCTGATTATCCATCGATCTTTTTTAACTAATAAAATGGATATTGGAAAAATTCTTCTACTTATATTCTACTTCTTTTCACTATTGATCAGTTTAAACAAGTTGCTAGAATAATTTTGTCCAAAGAAAGTGACTTGTTTATAGTCTTTCAAACGAGTCTGGGCCAGGATGAATGACGTACTCTTTAAAAAAGGACTAGTCGTGACGAGTGAAGACGACGCTTCGATGTAGTTCTGACTACTATTGAAGACATTTCAGACTCGTCAAGATCGTGTGGCATCGACTGGTTTCTGATTGTTTACGAGATGGCCCAGAATCAATTTTGTATTTTAGGCTGCATAAACGAACGTCAGTTAATTGCAGTGTTCTAGTCTCCCATAAGGACGCCCGTCAGGTTTCGAACATTGTCGGGTTGAATGTTCGAATCCATCTCACATCTTCTTCTTTTAGTCCTCCGACTAGTCTGGACAGAGTCGACGAAGAAAATGGACTAGACATGACTGGGTTCAAGGACATTGTAGATTAGTCCAGATGTGTTCGAAGAACATTTCTCCAAATGGCGACTAGTCTTGACAGGTGTGCAAGACGTTTCCGACTAGACTTGACGCGTGTTGTGAACATTCTGGACTAGTCATGTTGAACGTCTTCCTATATTTTTTTCTCACTTGGGCATGTAAGACAGAAAAAAGAACGTCATTACTTTTATCTGTCAACACTTATATAAAAGCCGACAGTGCTGACATTTTTGTTCTGTCTAACAAGAAATGATAGTTTTACTACTTTTTGCTTTCTGCTCAAAAAGAAAAATGCTTTGCATCAAATCTGACACATTAAGCTGGGATCAAAAATATGTGGCATTAAAATCAGTTACAATCGTTTCAAAGATTCGTTCATTTGGTGCAGATGTTAGTATTACACAATTATTTCGAAATGATGAAAATCAACCAATTGAAGCTGTATATTGTTTTCCAATTGAAGAAAATGCTGCAATTTATTCATTTGTAGCAAAAATTGATGATAGAGAAATTCGTGCTCAATTGAAAGAAAAAATTCAAGCACAACAAGAATATACACACGCTTTGCAACAAGGTCATGGTGCTTATCTTATGGAACAAGACGAAAAATCACAAGATATATTCATTATCAATGTAGGAGCTCTACTTCCTGGAAAAGAATGTCAAATTCAAATTATCTACGTAACTGAATTGGATCTTATTAGTCAAAATAAAATTCGTTTTGTTGTACCAACAACAATAGCACCACGATATAATCCGTCAGTTGGTGGTATTTCATCTCCTGCTGGTACACAAACAAAATATGTTCAATCAACATTGTATACAATCGATTTTCAATGTCAAATTGATAAACTACATGGAGAAATAACAAGTGTTTCATCATCTTCACATTCAATTGTAATTAAATTTAATGATAATAAATATGAAATAACATTTGGTCAAAAGAATACATTTATGGATCGAGATATTATTCTTGATATTGAATTATCAACACGAACAAATACAATTTTAGCTACTGAAAAAAATGATAAACATCAATTGGCTTTAATGGCATCATTTACACCTACGAATAAAGATTGTAGAAAAGCATTTAATACTAACAAAAATATCAAGGATGTAAATAATGAATTTATTTTTATTGTTGACTGTAGTGGTTCAATGCAACATGAAAATAAAATTGGTCTTGCTCGTCAAGCGATGATTTTATTTCTCAAGAGTTTACCAGTCAATTGTCAATTTAATATTATCCGATTTGGATCTGATTATAGAACATTGTTTAATAATGTAACTGAAATATATAATAAACAAAATGCAAGACAAGCTGAACAATTGATTTCACAAATGTCGGCTGATCTTGGTGGAACTGAATTATTGAGACCATTACAATGGTTACAAAATCAGGCACCTGTTATTGGTCATTCTCGACAAATATTACTACTGACTGATGGAGAAGTATCTAATGTTACCGAAGTAATGAATCTTTGTCGATCAATGTCAACATCAACAAGAATTTTTTCATTCGGTCTTGGTCATTCACCAAGTCGATCATTGATTAAAGGTCTTGCTCGTTCAACAAACGGTCGATTTACATTTATTCCTCCAGGAACAAGTGTCGATGTTCATGTTGCTGAACAACTTCAAAAAGCTCACGAACCATGTATTACTAATGTTAAAATTAAATGGAATATTTCATCATTAACATCATCCAAACTTCAAACTATTCCAACAATTATTCCACCTATTTATGCCAATGATCGTCTTTTATTTTATGCACTAGTCGAAAGTGATCAATTCAATCATTCCACAACTGTCGAACTTTGGAATCATGACGAAACAGTTCAACTTGGATTAGCTAGAATCGATCATATACCAGAGACTACAGATGATAATAATAATCAATTAATAACTCATTTGGCAGCTAAGGCTCTGATTCAAGAAATTACACATTCTAAAGAATTACAAGCCGGATCTCAACAAACTAGATTGCAACAGAATATAGAAGATGATAGAAAAAAGCAAGCAATCGCTATTTCATTAAAATATAATATTCTCTGTCCACACACAGCTTTTATCGGTATTGAAACACGTACAGATTCATCAGGCAAAAATGCCAACTCGAACATGATATTACGAGAAATTCCAATCGAAATATCAGCCGATGATAAAGTCATGACCGGATTACAATCTATATTCGTCACTTCACATGATGCTAGCTTAAATTGTAAAAGGAGAACAATGCCTCAATATCAACAATCAATGTCCACATACGGTTCTACTACATTACCGCAACAATCGACATTAGGATTTTCTTTTGGTGCATCTTCTAGTCATCAACAATTTTCTTCACAATATAACCCATATCCACCACAAGCATCACTATCCGCATATTCTTTTGGTGCACCTTCCACTTCTCAACAATATTCTCCATCATCTGACACATTTTTGCAACAAGCACCATTATTCGATTCTTGGTCATCTAACATTTCACGAGAAACTGGTGACTATGGTAGATTCTCCTTTACCAATACAAACATTGATGAAGCAAGTTCTTTATTTTCATCTTTAATGACTGAACAGAAAATATGGCCATCAAATGATCAAGACATTGTTCGTCACTTGATTAATTTACAAAAATTTGATGGACTTTGGAATTTAACTGATGATGATATTCAAAATCTTTGTCATAAACCACTAAAATCTTTTCATTCAATTATCACTAATGATTCGATTATTCTAACAACTGTCATTGTTATCATTGTCTTGGAAATGAAATATGATACCTTCAAAACAATGTGGTTATTTGTAGTAAATAAAGGAAGAAAACGTTTAATAGAATTGTTGGGTGATACAAAAAAACTCGAAAGATTAATTAATGACATCAAACATCAACTATAATTCTTGATAACATTCTTTTTCTTTTTCTCGTCATATGGTTTGATTGAAAAGTCTAGCAGCTTTATCGCTCTAAGAATGTACTCTGTAGTGATTCTTTCTCTATGTAAAAATAAATAATGAGATATTTTTCCTTACATAGAATTCATAATTTATAAATTTAACTCATTGAATGTGTTTATTTGAAGATTACTCTTTAATTAATATATTCATTTTTATTCATGAATGATTTTTTTATTTCTATGAATAAACTTGACAATTAACAATAAAGGCTTACATACGCATTTCTTTTCCTAATAACGATTCAAGAAAATCATGATAAAAACCAGAAATTTAATTCGCAAACGATTATATTCAGTTCGATTGCATTATTAAAATATCGACAATGATCATTTATGACAATATCAGATTACTATTCTTGTGATGTATTCTTTTTTTTTCTCCTAATGCACCTAGATCAACAATGCAGTATTTGAACAATCATGTTTTCAGTTCAGATAACATGTTATCAATTCTTGTTCGTACTATTGTATCTTTGTAATAAATATCATAGGCAAACATTGTCAACACATACAATTTATTCGATGCATTACAATACGTAAACAGAAGTAAAAGTAGTTCAGACATATTTGATTCACAAAATAAATGTATGATAGTAGAGCACATCCTTTGGTTTCTTGTATTCTCATCAATTATTGACTCGTACATAAAAATAGAAGGAAACTAGCAGAAATATTTTTCTGTTATTTTGACGAATTTATCATCACAACAAAATAACAATATATTGAAATTTATTGTTCATAATGACAAAAGAACAAACATCAGTCGATTGTGTAATTTTTTGCTTAATATTAAGAAAAGACTATATTTCTACACGATATATCGCTCTCCCATTAATAATTCAAAGCACCAGGTTGCTTGTTTTCGTACCTTCGACAAATATGTACGAAGGTGTGCACCAGAGAATGAAACGAATAAGAAAATCTTGATTCGATTCGGTTCATACCGAAAAAAAGAGAATCCTATTATTATGCTAAATTTATTGAGAAAGCTGCCAAGAGGGACTTGGGTTTTATAAAAAGAAATGTTTTTTTTTCTTATCGATTAGTGAAGGTAGTAGTTTCTGAATTTGCATAACTAATGCTACTATAGGTATCATCTACTTGGAGGAAGAAAGATTAAGTAGTTTTTAAGATAATATTCAAGATAAATAAAATTTTTCTAACTAAACACATAAAATTTACGAAAAAAAAAACTAATATTTTTGAAAAATTCAGCAGGTATGATTAACTAAATAATGATTGAATGTATTTGGAGATATTAGTAAACAAATAAAAGTAGAAGAGTAATTTGTTTTGAAAATTAGTTCTTATTTATATATATATATTGCTTAGATATTTTCTTTTTTTCCATGAAAAAAATCGAGTAAACTTTGAACAATTGATTCAGCAATCTTTTTTAATGCTTCTTCAGTAAGAAATACTTGATGTGATGTAACTATTGTATTTGGCATAGAAATTAAACGTGCTAATGTATCATCATCCATAACCTAAAAATAAATATAGTAATTTAAATTAAAGACAAAAACAAAAATCAGAACAAAAAGATTTTTTTCCCCCGCCTACTTTTTGACTATAATCATTGTAAAAATAATATTTATCTTTGAATTCATAAACATCCAATGCTGCACCTCGTAATTTTCTTGACTTAAGACAATCTACAAGTGCTTGAGCATCTACTAAAGGACCACGACTTGTATTAATTAACATAGCACCTTGTTTCATTTTGTCGAAAGCAGTTTTATCAATCAAATGATAAGTCGAATCATTTAATGGTGCATGAAGAGAAACTAATTAATAAAACATAATTATTATTTTAAAAAAACTTATATTCTTTTTACTCACCAATATCACTTTTTTGAAGTAATTCATCCATTGTTACGTATTCGAAACCTTTTTTTTTTGCTGCTTCCTCATCAGGTTTAATATCATAACATAAAACTTTACCACCAAAACCCAAAAATATATTAACTGCACATATTCCAATATCACCTGTTCCAATATCACCTGTTCCAATAATGCCAACAGTTTTACCAAAAAGATCAACACCAACTAATCCATCCAAAGTAAAATTATGTTGTTTGGTTCGAAAAAATGCATGATGCATATTACGATTAAGTGAAAGTAAAAGAGCCACTGCATGTTCAGCAACAGCATGTGGTGAATAAGGTGGTATACGACATATTTCAATACCATAACTTTTAGCTGTTTCTAACGATACACCTTTATGTCCAGCACTACGTAAAGCAATTATTTTGACTGATGGACAATTTTGATGTGTTTTTTCGACAATATTTGGTATGCGAGCATCTCGATGAACAATACAAATTCCATCATAACCTCGAGCTTCAATAACAGTTTCATCATCTAATTTACTTTGAAGAAATGTAAAATGTAATTTATCATGAGCATTTAATATTTTTAAAGCTGCTTTAAATGTTTTTTCATCATATAATTTTGAATCAAAAAAGAGAATCTTTTTTTTATGTCATTTCAATTGATGTTTTTTTTTTCTAAAAATTAGCAAGAGAGAAAAAAAAACAAGTTAGCACAAGTCAATTCAACAGAATCGCAGTTGTCTATAGATCTATTATCGTTCTTTAGATTAATGTCAGAACGATAATTTTCTTTTTCTTTTCTCTACAAGCGAAATTTTGCTAGTGAGTTATTGCGCAGAGTGCGTCAACACCGACGAGAACGATGCTGTCGAGAGTAAAATAAGAAAGAACAAAATAGTAGAAGAAGAAAAAAACTATGGAAGAGATATATGTAGGTGGCAGAGATGGAAATGGTTCAAATTTTTCAAAATTTAAATTGAAGCGAAAAAGAAATTTTTTTAAAAATTCTACCAGCGATAGCCAAAACTATGTAATGTTTATGTCAGATCATTAGTCTTAATCGAAACGATTTGCATCTATCATATATATAAGTCCATGGTTCTTTAATTATTATTTTGTTTTTTACTTTATTCATGTGAATGTCAATAGTCTCACCATTTTTATCTGTCATATTGACAATAACTCAATTTTTTTAATATTTTAAGATCGAAGTTATTTTTTTTCTGCAGTTAAACATTGAAAACAATGCGACACATTTAATATAATAAGCAAACGAAAACGATGAGTTAGAAGATAAAGCGATGTGATGAACAATAGTAGAATTCGATCAAGAATCAAGATCAATAATATTATTTGTATTTAATAACACACACATGCTTATATTGTATTACATTTAATTTAGTCAGTTATCAATCAAAGTACCTGATGTTTACGACAATAAAGATATGATTGGTTTGTGTACGTCCCATATTTTTCTTAGAGGAAGAACGACAAGAAAATATATTAATATTTTTATTGCTACTTACGATATCTTTTCTAATGCATTTTTCTTGCTTACATGTCAATATGACACTGAACCGACATATGTCTTGATATAAATGGATACAAAAATCACCCAAGTCTTAGAATCACGAAATATTTTGATTTTAATAGATTATAAAATTTTGACATGCTAAATACACAGAGTCGACATTAGGTGAAAAAATATAAGTGAGATTTTTGGTGGTTTGAATAGTATACAGAACACTTTGGCTCATGACCAATTAAATGAAGCTAAAGATTTGGTTTCAGCTCCTTATTTTACTGGAAAAACCTTTGTTACAATTTGATTGAAACTTTCAGAGATAATTTTTCTCTATATGATCCGTCTACTATGCATACATAAAAATGGATAAATGCTGCTGGATCGAGATATATTTTTTCTAAAAAAATCTTGGTTTTAGAGCACAGAGAAAGCGTGCACATTGAGTATATCCCTTTTAGAAAAACCTTAGTTGAGAACGCATGCATGCTTTTTCCAATAGAAAAACGGTTAGAACAAAGTTTTTCATATAAAAAGATAGAGCAAGAGCCCTACGATTTTCTCAAATTTCGACGTATCAGTACTAAAATAGTTGGTTCTCTGATCTTTCTCGAACGTACACTTCCATATTCGCAAGAGAGGGTGGGTGTGGGTGTGGGTAGGTGTAGGTGTGGAGTGCGGATGTGGGTGTGGGTGTGGGTGTGGGTGTGCGTGTGGGTGGGTGTAGGTGTGGAGTGCGGATGTGGGTGTGTGTATAAATAAATTTTATTTAATAGCACAAGCTATACTTACGACCGGTTTCGACCTTGCTTAAGGGTCATCCTCAGGTAAGTTCGGCTATTAAATTTTCATATGCTGCAATTTAATTCTAACCCACAATTTTGAGAGAGTTCTATGAAAGTTAAGCAAAAACCAAAACTTTCATTAAACTATCATCAATATATTGTAGGAGAATCACAATTATTTCCAAAAATGTTTTGGACAATTTTTCAAAAGGGTGTGGGTGTGTGTGTGGATGTGAATGTGGGTGTGGGTGTGGGTGGGGTGTGGGTGTGGGGTGTGGGTGGGTGTGGGTGTGGGTATAAACTGAAGGAATACTTACACCCACACCCACACCCACACATCCACATCCACATCCACACCCACATCCACATCCACACCCACACCCACACCTACACCCACACATCCACACCCACACCCACACCCACACCCACACATCCACATCCACATCCACACCCCACCCACACCCCACACTCACACCCACACCCACACCTCACACCCCACCCACACCCACACCCCACCCACACCCCACACTCACACCCACATCCACACCATTAATAAATACACTCAATGACCTTGAGTTACTAAAAATTTGTTGTTAAATCATTTACAGATTTAGAAAAACCAAATTATTAAGAAGAATAATGAATTAAAACTTTTTTGCATAATAGAAAAGTGGTTTTCTTGAGAATGATTATTTTTGACTTGTTAATAATAGCAATCAATCGACTCATTCATATGAAATCATTAAAAAAATTTATTGAAGAAATTAACGGAGATATAAGTCGATTTTTTTCACTGTCGATGATATACTACTCAGAGAAAATAATGCTAATAGATTTAGTGAATAGTTTATGTTTGAATAAATAAAATTGATGTATGGAAAAGATTGATGAGAATTTCATTCTAAGAAAACTATTTGAGAGGTCTATCTATTCGAATAAGTATCGTTTAGAAAATGATCTTTTTCAGCAGTTGTTGTGATAAAAATTGAATTATTTCTAGAGTTTTCTGTCAAGAACTGACCGATTCAAAATTAACATCTTTCGTTTCATCAGGTGTGTTCCCTATAAAAATCGATAATGTTTACAATTAAAATATTGAATAACATCTTGTTTTGTATTAAGATAAATGAACTATTCGTTGATACAAAGTAGTATTAAAAAAAACGGTTTATTAAATTTCCAATACTTGAATATTTCGCAGGTGATGAATGCTTTCTCTTTGCAAAGTGATCAATATTGATCTCAATGGAAGATTGATATGTTAGAAAAACAATTTTTAAGAAGATTTTCTATATAAAATGTTTTGTTTCGATAATTTTTAAATATTCACCGAACAGAATTGATTATGATAATATCCATCTACAATGACAATAACTTTTATTTGTTTTATATCTTCGAACAATATCATAGACTTTTTAAGATAGATACACAGAAAATCAAAGAATACAAATTGGTTAAATGCCCGTTATAGCTTTTTTCCATTTTTCTCTTGTCTATGGCTTTTTCTATCGGACGTTGATCTTGACGATCTACTCTTTTTTTGTCTGTTCTTAATTCTTGATTTGAACAACTTCTTCTGTTTAAAGCTTATTATTATTTGATTAAACTTGATAAAGTTATGAACATATTTAAACAATTTATGTTTGCTAATCGACATCAAATATTTTCTTTACATATAAATTTTATAATATGCAATAGTTACTTTTTTTTGGGTCGTTTTTATTCGATTCATCATTTGATCATCTTGAATCTATTATTTTTGAAAAAAATTCAATCCGATACACTTATTTCAGTTCTAAGCAATTCATCGTCTTTACCACATCTTGCTTCATTAACCATCGAATGTTCAAGAAGAAATCAATGATATCTATCGATTGATATTTGTCTTATCTAAATTGAAATATTATTGAATTTCTTTTTCGAATAATTGTCATTCAATTACACTTCCACTGGCTATAAATAATCAATGTAGTCCTATTGAGTATCTTGTTATTGTTCTTTGAATGAGCTCGTATCTTTAATTTTTTACATATCAAAACTTCATCATTTAACTGTTCATAAAATACAATTTTTTTTTTAGTAAAAGATGGTATGATGATACAGAAGATAATATTGTTAATCGTTATGTTAAACATTTTACATTTACTAATTTAACATTCGAATGTATTCCTAGTTCTATGTGCGAGGAAGTGATACCCAAAGAAATTCAACGTGTTTTAACAAGAACAAAAATTTATCACTTGGAAATTCTCGAAAAAAAAGTCTCAATTTCTGCATTGATTCAAATTGTTAATCTATTACCAGACATAATTTCATTAAAAATTCATTCATTATCAATACATAAGACAACAGAATTAACTCTTAAAGAATTTTTTATTTTATGTTCAATAAAAGAAACAGGTAAAATACCAAAGTCTATCTTGAAGAGATTGGTGATGTGAAAGAACTTGATTTTCTTTTCATATTTTGCCCTTATATGAAATATTTTAAAGTTAGATGTATAAATATGATGAATGTTCAATCTTTCTTACATATTATTTTCTAGAAAATTAAGCAAAACAATACTCATCATCTTCGTTCATTATGTTTTCCTATTCAAACAGCGAATGGATAAAATAGTTGAAAACATTGAACGAATGATCAATTGTGATAAACTACTTTCTAATTTTACAGTCAACCGTATACTATATACTGTCTATTGATAATGGAAATGACTTGAACATATTTATTTATTTATTTATTTATTTTCTTCTAAAATTTGTTTAATTATTACAATAAAATGTTTTGCATTAATCAATTATTTTATTACTTGATTATATTGAC